GTTCTAATGGATTTTAAAAATTCGACGTTCCACACTCTCTCTATCTCTCTTTCTCGGTTTCTCTCTCCCTGTCTCCCTCTCTCTCTCTCTCTCTCTCGCTCCCAAGTCTTTCCTGCAAGTACATATACACACATGCAGGCAGGCATACATTATACATTATACATACATGCATACATACATACATACGTACATACATACATACATAGATGAAGGCATATGTACATACATACACACACATACATACATCCATGCATGCATACATACATACATGCATGCATACATACACACATACATACACACATACATGCATACATACATATATACATACAACGATACAACCATACATACATACATACATGCCTTCATACATCCATCCATACATACGTACATACGTACATACAAACATGCATACATACATACATATATAAATACATCCATCCACCAATACATACATACATACACGCATGCCCACATACATACATACAAACCTACACACCTACCCACATATAGCATACACGCATACATACCTACATACATGCATACCTACATGCATGCATACATACATACACACATCCACGCATATACACACATACATCCACGCATACAAACATCCATACATACATACATACATACATACATACATACATACAAACATACATACACGCATGTCCTCTTCATGTGTATCTCCCTCTCTCTAGGTATATATCTACTTTGCCTCTCTCATTCATTATGTCTCATAGTTGATTGGTTCTCTCTCCCTCTCTCTATATCGGAGGTTGGGTGTGAGATCGCAATGAAACAGTGACACCCCGTCCTTCTGGGGGTTGAAGGGCCCTCTCCCGCACTGATCGCAATGGATGCGGGGGCGCTCATGCCCAGCAAGAAGCGGTCGTCCTCCAGGCCAATGCTGGAAGGGGAGAGAACGGCCCCGGGCGGCACGCGCGCCCACCAGGTACGGTACTGCGGGCTGGTGGCCTGATGCCCCTCTGGGAGGAGGCCAACGCTGGACCCGAGGAGGGCCTGCGAGAGAGCCCAGACGGAGCAACTGTGGGTTGCAGACTGGAAAGGTCCGCGGGGGGAACGAGGTGAGCCAGGGCGTCCAGGGTGGGCTTCAGAGAAAATGACTGTGGGAGGCCTCCCTCCACGGCACGCGCCGTTTGTCCCCCTGGACGTCGGGGTGGCGGTGCGCAACGGTAACCAACCAAGAGCATGCTTTGATGAAGGCCTCTAGGCGTCCGTGTGCTCTGCGGAAGTCTGCATCCACGAGGTTGTGGGCTCGGCCGAAGCTGTCACGCACCCGAATGCAGGCATTATTGTAGGGGAGACAGGTGCCCAAAGTGGCCTCAACACACACACACACACGCACACACACACACACACACGCACACACACACACCACACACACACACCGCACACACACACACACACACACACACACACGCATACACACATTCACACACACACGCGTTCACACACACACACACACACGTACACACTGGCACACTTACACATCTACACACGTACACACTTACGAACTTACACACCTACACACTTACACACTTACACGCATACACACTCACAAACACATACACACACGTCACACGGTCAGTGGCCCCATAGGAAGCTTCACCGAGGGCCCCAATGGCACAATCTGCATGGCGGCACCGCCCCCGTTTCGGCACATCCCTCAAACGTTTCCTGGCAACATAGAGAGCTCCACCGCAGGCCCCTGCGCCAACGTCCTCATGGCGGCACCGCACCTATCTCGTCACACACACACACACCACGCGTTCCGTGGCACCACAAGGATCTCCGCCGAAGGCCCCTGTGGCACAGTCCGTCCGCACGGCGGCACCGGACCCATTTCGGCACACCTCTCACACGTTCCGTGGCCCGATGATGAGCTTCGCCGCAGGCCCCTGTGGCACAGTCCACTTGGCGGCACCACCCCCATTTCGGCACACCCCTCACACGTTCCGTGGCACCATCGGGATCTCCGCCGAAGGCCCCTGTGGCACAGCCCGCATGGCGGCAACGCATCCATTTCGGCACACCCATCACACGTCTCGTGGCCCGAGGAGGAGCTTCGCCGAAGGCCCTCATGGCACAGTCCGCATGGCGGCACCGCGCCTATTTCGGCACACCCCTCACACGTTCTGTGGCACCATCGGGATCTTCGCCGAAAGCCCCTGCGGCACAATCCGCATGGCGGCACTGCACCAATTTCGGCACAGCCCTCACACGCTTCGCGGCACCGTAAGGAGTGCCGCCGAAGGCCCCTGCGGCAGAGTCCGCATGGCGACACCGCTCCATTTCGGCACACCCCTCACATGTTCCGTGGCACCATCGGGATCTCCGCCGAAGGCCCCTGCGACACAGTCCGCATGCCAGCACCGCACCATTTCGGCACACTCCTCGCGCGCTTGGTGGCCTCATGAGCTTCACCGACGGTGTACAAAACAAACTCCGCACGGCGGCACCGCTCCATTTCGACACACCTATCACACGCTTCACACGGCATAGTTGAAGCACGCTTGCACAGCTTGCACACGGCATGGTTGAAGCAGGACGAGCTGACCCGCATCGACGCCTTCCAAGCAAGGTGCCTGCGGAGAATCCTCGGGATCCCGCATTCGTACGTCAGCCGAGTGTCTAATGCGGACGTGCTGGCACGAGCGCGCAGGATGAAGCTTAGCAGTACTCTCTTGCAGCGGCAACTCATATACTTTTTCCATATTGCTTGTAAGGGTGATGACCACCCCTTGCGTTCAGCTATTTTTAGACCTTCCTCCCTCGACCTCCGCCCCCCCTCCGGCAAGCGGAAGAAAGGCCGACCGCGACAGACGTGGCCTGCCGAGGTGTACAAACTTGCAAGAGATGTTTGTGGCAGTCTTCAAGTTCCAATCGAACATTTATGCGCAATCCCAGTTCGAGACTGGAAGCGCGCTGTGCGGTCATTTTGCTTGGCACGGTAAGTGTGCCATATTGCTCATGTGCCTTCTGACACACGGCTTTGACTGACTGACTGACTATCACACGCATCGTACCCCCCTGAGGAGCTCCACCGCAGGCCCCAGCGGCAAAGTCCGCACGCCGCCACATCGCCATGTTGGCACACCCCATTACACAAGTCGCTTCCATCCTTCGTGTCAATTAGCTTGCGGTGCTCGCAGCTGCATATGGTTTGTCCCTTCGCCAGGATGAGAGTGCGCTACTCTGCCAATCATGGTAGCACGCGGGCCACGCGGGACTTCACGCCCGCATGTCGAACACGTTCAACAGATCATCGCGCACCGCCAGATCTGTGAAATACCATGGGGATACACGCAGGCGCCCCCGCACGCGCACATCGCAATCCTTCCAACTTTACGTGCCTTCGTTACGTTCCAACACGTACGTGTTCAAACACACACGAACGGCCAATGGGCTTGCAAGACGCAATTAGCAAGGAATTCGGAATACTTGGGCACGCGCGCGCACATCCTCAACATCTCCATCAATAACATCGTGTTCATCATCGCCAACGTCATTATGCCCACCGTCTGTCATCATACACATCGTTCGTCGTCGTCATCATCCATCACCACCGTCGTCATCATCATCGTCGATGCCGCCGCCCTTGTCACATTTCTCCGCGCGCACATACTCATCATCCTCACCAGCAGCAACACCAACACCAGCACCGGCACCGGCACCAGCACCAGCACCATCGTCACCATCATCGTCACCACCATCATCATCATCATCATCATCATCATCATCATCATCAGCATCATCCTCCTCGTCATCAGCAGCATCATCATAGCCAGCGTCAGCACTGCCACAATCATCATCAACTCCATCAACGTCATCGCAATCACCATCGTCGTCGTCGGCATCACCCCCACCGTCATCATGAGCAGTATAATCGTCATCGTCATCGACGCTGTCGACGCTCAGTGTAATGTTTCCAACACCTTGCGGGTGGGTTGGTGGGATGGTTGCACGATCGTTGGAGTCGACGACTATAATCTTGGCAAGTGAACTGCGATTCATATGCTGCGCCACATGGCTTGCACCACGTAGCTTGCTCTAGAAGGCTTGCGCCACATAACTTGCACTCCATAGCCTGCACCGCATAGCGTCCACAACGTAGATGTTACCACATACAAGTGACCACATAGTGATAGTTTCAACCGCACAGCGTGCTCATCCAAAGTGTGCCTCACCACCACTTGTTCCAAACCATCGTGTGGTGTTGGGTCCTCGTGTTAGATACAGCGCCCCCGTCACTTCTCTCTTCCTCCTCTTCCTCCTCCTCCTCCTCCTACCTCCTCCCATCCTTGCCAGCTCTACCGAAGGCCCCTGTGGCCATGTCCACATGCGGCCGCCCCACCCATTCCAACATACCTCTCACACGCTTCGTGACTACATAGGAAGCTCCACCGAAGGCCCCCGTGCCAGAGCCCGCATGCCACGCTTCGTGGTCCAATAGGGAGCTCCACCTAAGGTTCCAGTGACAGCGCCCGCATGGCGGCCCCGCCCCATGTTGGCACGCCTCTCACACGCTTCGTGGCCCCATAAGGGGGTACTATCTAAAGCTCCAGTGGTAGCGCCCGCATGGTCGTCTCGCCCCATTTCGGCACATCCTTCACACACTTCGTGGCCCCGTGAGGAGATCCACCGAAGGCGATACTCACAACGATGGCACTCGCAACTGCAAATTGTTGGGTCCTTCGCCAGGACCATGTTCTAGGGATTGGGCTCACGAGTCTGGTCCGCCGCCCTTGTCTGGTTGCGAGCCTGCCAGCAGCCCGCCGCGGGAATGCACGGAAGCGCCCGGCGCCTGCGGCGCCGGGCGCCCTCCACGGAGCCCTTCGGGCAGCGGGGCGCCCCCCCGCGCTCCTGGAGACCCCCCCCGGGGCACGCGGCCGAGAGAGGTCCCCGGCGGCTCGCGGCCGCCCGGCCGAGGCGGGCCGCCGCACACCCCTCGGGCGCGGGGCGGTCTGGCGGCCGAGACCTCACTGCCCCAAGGCCAGCTGCGGAGCCGTCCCGGGCTTCAGCATCTTGCCCGCAGCCGCCGCGTCGGCAAGCGCCTGGGAGGACACGCCCATGGCCACGGTGGGCTGGACGCCCACGATGGCGGGTGCGGTGCTGGCCGAGCCCGTCTGCACCTGGACGTTCTGAGCGGTGACTGCGTCGGGATTGTACTGCTCCTCCCCCTTCTTGATGGTCACCTTCAAGAACTTGCCCTGCTTCGTGTCGAAGCCGTTCATGCCCTTGATGGCCATTGTGGCCGCGGAGGGCGAGGCGTAGGACACGAAACCGAAGCCTTTGGAGCCCTTCGTGATCGGGTCCTGGTGGATCTTTGCGGATATGATCTGGCCGAACGGCGTAAAGTGGGCGTTGAAGTCATCGTCGGTCCAATTGATGGGGATGTGGAACACAAAAATGTTGGCGCCCATGGGCCCGACTCCGCTGTTGGCAGATGCCGTCAACGCCAGAGTGGCTGAAGCGACGTCCGTCTCCTTGCCGCCAGCCCCGGCGGGCTTGGCAGCTGCAGCGCCGCCCAGCTCGGCGGGCTTTTCCCACCGCGTCTCCTTGGTGACGCTGTTGAAATAGTAGGGCTTCCCCTCTGGCGTCGTGAACTCCTGCCAGGGCGTGACGGCCTTAGTGGGCGCCTCGAAGACCGTGCCTTCAATCTTTGTCAATTTCTCGTTGTTGAACTTGCAATGGAGCGGCCGGGCACTGCCCGGGAAGAGCTGCTGCCCGTTGAACATCGCAACTGCCACTGCGGCCTCGGTCTCGTCCTCGTATGTCACGAAGGCCCAGCCGCGGTCCGTGCCCACCTGGTCCTGCATGTAGAAGAACTCCTTCACGGTGCCCTGCTTCTCGCACTCCCCTTTCAACGTCGCCTCGTCCACATGGTTAGGGATGCACCCCAAGAACACCTTGCTGTCAGACATGCCCCCCGAGACAAAGTCGGCACCCGCGCCCCGCGCCGCGGCCTGGGCGTGGGGAGCGCCCCCCCGTCGCCGGAGCGCCTCCCCGCCGGCCCGACAGCCCAGCGCTCGGGCCCTCGAGCCACAACGGCTGCGGGGTGTCCTTCGGGCACACGCCTGCAGACGCTACCAGTCAACTGGAAGCACACACATGTCTGGATCCACATGCATGTGGAGCATCAGAAGCCCACCCGCTCGAGGCACATATGGGAGCCTGGCCTATACGGCCATAGAAGGGCCGAGCGCTGGAAAGACATCTGGCCACATGCGCTTCCAGCTCTCACCCCAGGCTGGCCGCGTCACGTGCATCGGGCTTCCTGGTGTGAACAACTTGGGCCCTGATCTCTTCAGTACCTCGGAGGTGCGAGACAACACGGCCGTTGCAGCGCTGCACAGCAAAAGGGCAGCGAACAGCCCTCTAGAAACAGCGCAAGAGCCACATGTGCGATGCGCGAGCCCGCGCAGTGGGCGCGGCCTGCGAGACAAAAAGGGACCGCTTGGGAATCCAGGCTGGCCTCTCTCGGTTCTCCTTCTCCCTCCTCCCAGTCATGCTGTTACGACAAGTAGCGTAATATAAGGAAGGGGGCCCCTTTGGGCCCAAAAAGTAGCTGCTTGCACGAGGAGCGCCAGAAGAATCACCGTTGAAAGACCCATGCAATAGATCACCCCTTCCGAGCCCGAACTGTTTCGTATTTCAGCGTTTGCACCGTGTCCTCCTTCTCCTCCTCCTCGCTGTCGTCGTCGCCCTCCTCCCTTCGGCAGGTGCACCTCTTCCTCCTGCTCTTTCTCCTCCTCCTCCTCCTCCTACTACTACTGTTCTTCCTCCTCCTCCTCCTCCTCCTCTTCTCTCCTCCCTCCCTCTTTCTCTTGATTCCTGCCCTATGCTGCTACTCCATCATATTACTCCTCCTACTTCCTCTATTTTTCCCTTATAGATAACTCCTCCCTGTCGCTCCCCGATGCTGATCGAAAGGGCGGGCCGGACGTTTCGCCTGAGACTTTCTCACCACGTATGACCCTGAAGCTAAGACTGGAAGCAATTTCACACATGGAGAGCGGGTGGCTTTCAAAATGTTGCTCTCGCCTTAAGGCCGCGCTCATTCGTTGAAACAAATTGTGCAACAAATTGCAAAGAGCTTCACGGCTAGAGGGCGGGTCGTTTTCAAAATGTGGCTCTCGCCCTAGCGCCGCGCACATTCGTTCAACAAAGTTGCACGAGCTTCACGGATTGAGGACAGGTGGTTTTCAAAATGTGGCTCTCGCCCCAACGCCGTGCACATTCGTTTTAAGAATTGCAAGAGTGTCACGGATTGAGAGCGGTCGTTTTCAACATGTGGCTCTCGCCATACCGCCGCGCACACTCGTTTTCAACATTTGCAAGAGCTTCACGCACTGAGGACAGGTAGTTTTCAAAATGTGGCTCTAGTTTCGAAGCCGCGCACATTCGTTTCCCAAAAAATGCAAGAGCTTCACGGATTGAGAGCAGGTCGTTTCCAAAATGTGGCTCTCGCCCTAAAGCCGCGCACATTCGTTTTGAACGTTTGCAAGAGCTTCACGGATAGGCGGGTCGGTTTCAAAGTGCGGCTCTCGCCTGATCGCCGCGAACATTCGCTGTAAAAAACTTGCAAGAGCTTCACGGATCGAGGGCGGGTCGCTTTCAAAACGCGGTCTTCGCCTTATCGCCGCGTGCACCCACTGCACACATTCGACACAAGTGCACTAATCTTTATGGTTGACGTACCAGAAACCTTCTGATTTGTTTTAAGGATTCGGGATTGTCTGAACGCACAGTTACGGTGATTCGCAAAGTTAGAGTCCTAGGAATGGCGCTCTGGCCTGGCAGCTGGCGCGACTCAGGATCGCCAAAACGTGCCATTCAGGGTAACTCGTGGCGTCGAAGTCCTCTGAATGGTGTTGTGGTTCGCCCCAGGATGTTCGCACGCTTGTCCCCCCACGGGGCCATTCAACTAGTGAGAATTCACCCTTGTAGAGGCCTATGAAAAGAGAGCTTGGACGGAGGGTGTCTTCCAACATCGTCGATGAGTCTTGACTTTGCACTGGTCCTCCTCCTCCTCCTCCTCTTCCTCCTCCTTCTCAACCTCCGCCGCTGACGACGACGAAACGACAACAGCAAGGAGGACGACGACGAACCTTGACTTGTGAACCTGGACCTGTCCTGTGGCGAACTTCGACGCGGTTCCACCACGTGGCCACGCGAGCGCCCCTGGAAGCCCAATAAGACCCAGAAACACTCAAAAGCCCTGACCCTCGACCCTGGATCCTCGAGCTTCAATGGTTGACGACGACGGCTACGACCATCACAACCATAGTTTCGACGACGCTGGCGGCGACAGCAACGGCGGCGACATGTCTTGCTCATCGTCGACTCTGACACCCCTCCAGGACACCTTTTCTGACCAGTGTTACACGAGTTGCGTCGTGCCCAACAAACAAGCAAAAACAACGACGATTGGAACGACGACGACGACCTCCTTCATCGGCGGCCCCCAGCAGACCTCCAAGGAAGCTTCCTTGTGAAGCCCCCAGGTGCATCCACAGGCTCCTGGAAGCCCCCAAAAGGGTAGACACTTCCAAGAGCCCTGACCGTCGATCATCAGTGACGACGACGGCGACGAAGACGACGGCGGCGGCAACGACGGCGAACACTCCGATGCCAGAGATTGTGCATACCCGCCGCATCGGGAAGCAATGTCCCAAGGCCCCAAAAGGCAAAAAATATCCGCAACCGTGCCTGCACGGAGTGGGCGTGTTAGGCTGCTCCTGTGGACCCTCTAAGGAAGTTTCTTCAAGATTTCGAGAGCCGACGCTTTCCCAGTTCGCACGCGATCGCGTAAACTGCCCCCCTCTGACATTGTTCCCCTGGTGTTTTGCTCGGCCTCCAAACGGCCAAAGGGCCGCCAAAAGAACTTCCCAGACGGCCAACACGACACCACAACGGCCCAAGATGGCCGAAGACGGCTCAGGAGGCTTTCGAAACAGTCTTCAGCCCAACAAAAACCCCAAACGGCCCAAGAGGGCTTCAATGGGGTCCCCGAGGAAAGCCCGAGGAGGAGAAACAAACATGGCCTTCTCTAGATTGGTGCTGGACATTGAACTTCTGGATTGTTGGGGTTTCCGACCGACCAGTACGGTCCCAAAAGCCTCTATATAGCTCCGAGACTCGAGACTGCCCAGAAGCCCCTAGGAAGACCCCAGCTCGGCCAGTCCATGTACATGTGCTGCGCGGATAACGCCGCGGGCGACGCCAGGGCCGTGTCACGTCGCTCCAAGCCCACAAACAACGCCAGCTTGCCGGAGGCGGACCGCACCCCGCGCTTCGACCGGCGGGGAGACCTGTCGCACTTGAAGGCCCGCTCGGACAAGGTCGACGGCACACGCACACACGCACACACACACACACACACGCACACACACACACACACGCACACACACACACACACACACACACACACACACACGCGTACCGGCCCGGAAGCCGTCCCTACGCGGGAGGCGCGGCGGAGCCTCGGCTCCGGTCCCTCAGATGTACGTCAGCACGGCGTCGACCCATCTCTTCTTCGGTGTCTGTGCTCGTCGCGTCAGCCCAAAATGTTTCCATGCGAAGGCACGGCGAGCCCAGCTGCCCAGCTGTCTTTCGCCTCTTGCATCCTTCTGTGCCGTTGAGCTGCAGCACGCCTGTGGCTCCAAATCCAATGCCGAACATGTAGTCGACGGCATGTTTCCACGACCTCGTGAAAGGCCCTCTGACACCAGTCTGCCCATGGCCCCAAAACGGGATCACAATCAGACGCCGGATCATGCGATGACGCGGCCACCGGCCGGCGACGACTATCGTAGATCATGCGCAACATCTTCCACTGCACCCGGCGTAACTTGTCAGTCAATTCCTGCGTGCACCCCCACGTCGCGCTGCCGCGCAGGAAAACGTTGGACACCGTGGCGTCAAAAAGCTTCAGACGAACATGCAGAGAGTACGTATTATTCACACATTCTGCTCTCTGCGCCATATCACTCTTCCATGACATGCTGACCCAGTGATCAACTTCAACGTCGCGTGGTCAATCAGTGCATAGCTGCCTTCCCAAGTACTTCGCTTTACGGAACAGTGTCGATGTTCAAAACCGCCAGCTTGCACGTGCGATTTTCTCGGGCGCCTGGTGCCTTTGGTTGCGTTTGTCAAGATATTCGTCTTCTCTGGGTGGAGTATCAATCCGCGTCTTTCCGCTGCCTTTTGTAGACCCGTCATCATAATTTTCACTTGTCCTAGCGACGTACCAATGAGCAAAGCGTCATATGCGAAGCATGGATCGGTAAACTGTCGGTGCATGCTGAAACCTAATCGTAATCCCCAAGACTTCTTTCCCCAAGCCGGCTTGACCTCGGCAGAGATGTCCTCTGGGACTGCGTTGAAAAGCAAGCTGCTGAGTGGGTCGCCCTGCATGGCGCCACGCAACATGTCGAGTTCCTTACTCGTGCGGTCGGTGCGAACTCATCCCGATTGTCCAGAGTGCGAACCCTTTCAGCAATTGAATGCATCCGTCTGTGACGCCCTGTCGTTTCAGATCCCCCCACATGCACTCAGAGCCTCCCACATGCATGTGTGCTTGGTCGAATTGGAGGCTTGCTGGAAGCCGATCGCAGATATCCAAACACACCGCTGCCATTCATGGCGCTTGTCTTGCAACGTTGCGACCATGAACAAGTGATGCGTCGTGCCAACGCTTGGGCGGAAGCCTGCTTGATCAACTCCTTGGCGCACGTTCAGCACTGAGAACAATCGAGCGTGCAATAGTTTCGCAAAGAGCTTATGCAATAATGGCATGGCCGTGATGGGCCTGTAATTGTGAGCAAATGCTGCGTCCCCAGACTTATGTAAGACATATGCGATCGATTTCTCCCAGCTGCTTGGTGGAGCGCCGTTTGCCGAGATGATGTCGTTGAAC